CCTTTGTTGTTAAGATACGCGCTCAAGTGTTAGTGCCCATACGCACAACAATCTTTGGCCCATCGAAGACGTGTGTGCACTATGGCGTACATACCTTGCCTTCATTTTATTCTAATACTTGTTCAATTCTCTCGTTATTATATGTTTGCAGCCTATCTATTGTCTTCTGCATGACGATTACAGGTGCAAGGCACAATGCTGGCCCTATAGCATGAGACTGAATGGGTAGCCATGTCTTACTTGCACACAACTTATCATTTCAGTTATAGTACTGTGTGACATTGATTGGCCGAGTCACTGTAAACTGTGTGTGAAATAATTGATTCCCATGCGCCATGGATGCCAACTGTCGGACCATTCCTCGACCGTGAGGCACAGCATTCCATTTCCATCCAGCAAAGAACGCTGCGTAAGAATTCAATCAGTTAAGTCGATCGATTATTAAAATCGATCACCCGAAATTACTCCCGATCCTGATGGTTTCCACATTTTCCTCCTGTTTTAAGAAGCTCGGAGCAAAACAATTCTCCTCCACAATAATCCTTCCCTGTCGGGAGCAATTTCCCTCCATCAAGTTTTATAAACCAATTGTGTGGTGAGAAGCGTAATGGTTAATCCGCAATTATTGCACAAAATGGGCCGATAAAACGTTCCACACCATCACCGCCTCTGTTTTTAAACAGGGTGGACATACTTCAATCAGAACGCGCTGCAGTTCTGTTGCAATAGCTCGGAAACCTAGTTTCTGGGTGCATGCATTTTCATCGCATAACTTGCATCGTTTTGTTTTCACGTGGTCGATGGTAAAGTCAACATCCGGCTACAGCGGACTATGCATTAGGACCTGAAGCGTTCACTACGCTTCGAGATGCCTATGTAGTGCTTTGGTTCTATCGCAAGCGTGCGAGACGCAGAAGCATAAGCGTCAAGGAAATTCGCTGGAAATATCGTCCAGGATTCAGAAACATGTTATAGCTTACAGGTGAGCCTCGATTTACAACTTTCTGCGCTATTGCTGGATGTATCACAGCGTTGCCCCCATTCCAGCACTGCTTGCTGCTTGTAGCACGGGGCATGGGGGGACGTGTTAGTGAAATCTCTGTCTAGATGCTGGATGGCAGGGGGAGGGGGGGGGGCAGTTGACGCCACAAGTTGTTCTTATTTGTGCGCGGCCCTCTGTGTCCCCCCCCCCCCCCCCCCCCGATACATCGCCCTTGCTTGGGTGGTAACCTGTGATCTGAAATATGACTAGCTGAAGCATTCGTATTATTTCTAGTTGCAAGGGCAAGGGGAGCAACTAGCTGAAGCATTCGTATTATTTCTAGTTGCAAGGGCAAGGGGAGCAACACAATGCTTCAGGGGATATGCATCCAAATAGGCTCTTAAATGCCCATTTTAGATGTTTACACAAGACTAAAAGTCTTCTATTATGTACAACTCAGATGGCATTTGCTATTTGCATCCCTGGTTCTGGTTGTCATGATATATTCATGGGCCTTGTGCGCCTCCCCTCTTCCTGTGACGTAAGTGATTTATTTAGTGATAGTCCACGCCCCCTCCCCGATTCAGCCCACCCACCTCTATACTCGTCGGCAACAGCAATAATTTCAATAGTTTCTATAACAACGTTACTCGTTGCGCCCAAGCCCCAACACTGTGGCGCACCAGACAGCCTCTCTCACCCATGTGCTGACTAAGTCGTGACGACACTGCGACAAATCGCCGAATTTATTCAGATTTCAAGTGCTGAAGGGCTTCGTCGGAATATGTGCAAATGTAATGTTCACATTATGTATAAAATAGCAGCATGCCAAGCACAGAGGGAGGGCAAAGGCTACTCCCAGATCAAAGCAGCCAGGTCAATGCCCACCTCCACTTGTGCCAAATTCCAACGCATGCAATGACACTCAATACATTGAGAACATGCCAAGGCCGTGGCTGTTCCCCAATCGTTAGTTGGGTTAGTTTGTGTTTTCGTTAGTTTGGTGGCGGAGGCCGGGGACAGCCGCCGGGTCTTCCAAGAGGGGGGAAAGGTCTGGGCAAAGAGCTACTCTGGCCCAAAATGGAGAAGAAGGGCAATAGTGTCACGAACTGACCCAGTCTCATATGAATTTGACATCGGAGTAGCCGTCTGGAGTCGGCGCATGCCGACCAGCTGCTCCACGCCGGTCCGAGAGAAAGAGACGGCAGGAAGAGAGAAGAGCCAAGAGAGAAGAGAGAGCAGGCGGGACAGAGAAGACAGAAGTGAAAGCAGTCCAGACAGAGAAGAGAGGAGACAACAGGAAGAGAGACAAGACAGAAGCGAGAGCAGTCGAGACAGAGAAGGACACAAGCGAGAGCAGTCGAGACAGAGGAGACAGAAGCGAAGAAAGCGAGTAAGACTCAGGGTCACCGCAGCAGGAGGCGGTGATCCCACCGGAGACAAGTCGGCAGCAGGCCCTGTCGGACCCGGGGCCACCACAGCAGGAGGCGGTGACCCCACCGACTACATCACGCCGGGTCACGCCGCGCCCACAGAGGCAGCAGCAGCAGACGCGGTCGCACCCGGGGTCACCACAGCGAGACATCGAGCCGCGTCGATCAACGAGGATCCGGAAGCCATCGGAGCGTTTAAGTTATTAAGTGGAGGTGGTGCTGTAGAGCAAACACACCGTCGAGATGGCGCGACTGTCGCTTATTCAGTGTCTTCGGGATAGATGCCGCTGTATGTGTCTGTCGGAGTGAGTCAGTACACAAACCCGCGCCCGATCGCGCGTGTGTCGGTGCAGAGTGCCGCCCAGCGAACGAAGCACCAGTGACCGGACGTTATCACGACATGGCAATGTCCATGCGCCAAGTGGAAAAAACTTGTTTAATAAGGCCGGGTGGAACTAGTCAATGTGGCCATGCAATTTCAAGAAACAGTTGTAATGTTTAGGTATGCAAAATATTTACTGTTACTCAGCTGTGTGTTATGCAAGTGACAGGTGGACTGTTGACAGTATGGATGTTTGATTAATTTTGTTCAGTTTGTTACATGATCAATGTTCACACTGTAAAAGCTAAAAATTCAGTTGGATGTTGGGCAATAAATATGTTACTTCCTTTTAACTGCAGTAATGTTCTAAGCAAACATACTTTATAAGCTATTCCATTTTTTTAAAACCTGATTAAAAGAGCCTGTTTAGTCAAGTTTGGCACCCTGTTATCACAGGGCATGCAGCATAGCAGATACACTCTTTACAGTGTGGCTTGGAAGTAAAAATAGTAAAATGTTAGAGTGGCACGAAGCACCTAACTCTCCCCTTAGGCATGCCTAATTGCTAGTGTTGCCTTCCCACAAAGCATAATTTATAACCAAAGTTGGATTTGTCTAAGTGGCTTACAATGACCTAGAATGAGAAAAAACACTAATATTTATGTGCCATATTTATCATTTTAATTTCATGTTCTCTATAAATGTATGCCACTGGGACATCTTCCCCTAAGTCTGGTCGTTTTTGTGATTTTTTCACTTCTGCATCATCTTCTGTAGAAAATTACTTTCCCACACTAGCTCAAAATCAATTCTAGCTTGCTGGAATGACAGTCACCTTCATCCAATGAAAGTAAGGCCTGAAAGCACAGCACTCCAGATACTCAAAAGCAATTTTACCTTGCTGAAAAGAATGTGACCTTCAGTTCAGGAAAAAAAGGCCTGTAAGTTTTACTTATCCTTCAAATGTTGTTTCATCCTAAAATGGGGGAGAGGCAATCTTGGGCTGAAAATGTGATGGGAGCTGTATGGAAAACATGTCCATTTATGTTCAAATCAGGTCAGATAAAAAAGCAAAAAAATTGAGTCATGCTCCAGGGGCATGTTATGTTGGCAGAATCTGCTTATGAAAATTGTAAGGTTCCATCTAAAACATGGCATCAGCATTTAAACATGATTTCCTGACTGATTGATTGGCAGTAGGTACATGCAAATAAGGTTGTCAGCAAAAATTTTGGAGACCCCCTCTCCCCAGTCACCCCTTCCTACTCCTGTACCTGCCCGAAGTAGAAGACCTGGTCGATCAACCTGGAGCAGAACCAAACCTGCCCTAAAACATCTTGTCAACCGAGCAGTGTGCCAACTTTCACAAACTGGTAGGTATTTACAATGAAGGTATGTCACGGACTTACCTGATCGATTGCAGTCAGCAGACCTGCAGAATGAATCAAAATTTCTTGCCTTTGTCTTGGTCCAAAATAGTCTGAACGCGCCCACCCGCCTTCTCGCTCTTCCAGCGGAAACTAAACACGCACCCACGCCACCTACCCAAGGTGACGAACAGGCAACGCACACGCCCCCCCCCCCCCCCCCCTTCCAAGGAACACGCCGATCTAGAAAAACGGCGCCAAACTCGCACGCCGCACACGTTCAGGCTTAGCGCCCAGGACGCAAGCGCCCAACACGTGCTCCATGACCTCGCAACCGCGCCATAAACTGCGTCAGTGCCGGGAAGCTACTACTAACCTACCGCCAGCAGAAGACACGTTGCGAATATTTTTACCAAGTATATATATCGACAAGAAACTGAAATTCAATAGGCGTCATGCTTTCCCCAAAACATTAAAGTAATCCAGAAAAATTGTCTTGTCTTTGGAATTGAATATGCCTGCAGACAGGACGTCCAAGCCACAGCTTTACAGCTCTGCATGCGTGTAAGTGTGTAACCGTACCCAACATTGCAGATAAATGTGATCGAATTTGCTAAAATACTACTCCAAATCACAGCTAGGCACCAGAAAACCTAAATTAGATGCAGAAAGCCCTTTCCATCGAAATGTGATGCGGATGGACGTTACTTACTGAATCCAGTGGTGGTTTGGCACCGACGCTTGTGAGGTGATAAGTGAAAAATTGCGTTTTTGTTGGTTTCAGAAACCAGCACTGGGGTGTTTAATTCCAATAAATCCCTCCGGGATGTGTTAGCAGTCCGAGTAGCGTCCAATAAATTAATTTTGACTGTAGTTTAGTACGGACCATACTTGTCAGCCTTGCCACAGTTTAGCCTTGCGTCACGCGCGGCGCGCGTCCGGCGTGGTGGTGGCGGTTGAGCTCTGTGTAATTCCGGTGCCCGGCGTTCATCGGCAGGAAGGTGAGGGGGCCGTTTCGCGGGAGTCGTATGCATAGAGGACAAAGACCGGTCGCATATAAATAGGTCTATTAGTAAGGGGCGTGTGGAGTATCTCGTAATAAGTGATGAAGTGCGCGACGCAACTTTTTGCGCTGAAAATGCGTGTAGCGTGCAGCAGGCACGCCCAATTTTTTTCATGCGGGTTTTGGTATTAAGAGCCTTGGCATTAAGGCAGTACAGGATTTCACCAATTTATCCGATTGCTTGGAGTCGGTGTATGTACGAATAAGATAAGAGGCACTGTTGGTGTTTTCTATCTGTTGGTCTCCTTCATTTTTGCATTTGTGTTAGGGGTGCCCTTGGCTGAGGGAAATTATTTACTGAACAATTCTCTATTTATGTTCTGCAGGTCTGGAAGTTTCAGTTTTCTGCCAGTTTTGTCTTCCATGTGCCATGTGCAACCAACAGTGATAGTTATGCATAGCAAGTTTTTGCAACATTAAGAATAATTTGCACATATTTTCTAGTCATGTAAGGGTTCCTAAATCTTGTTCAAATTAACTATTATTAATTCTGGTATTTTCCAGGAGTTCATAATGCCTGAATGAGATTATCAGTGTGATAATCAAATAGGAAAATTGCCAGTATATCCCAAATGTATTCAATGATTATCATCATAATTGAACTATGTGACCAAATTGCATATTGTAAGATAAAGCTACCTTGTCATTCAAGAAATAGTTTTGTAAGTTTAGATGGAGGCCAAAGACCATGCCAGCCTGCCAAAAAATACATTTGCTGCCAGATGCTGAATATTTTGGTTGCTACATTGGACCAATATGTGCTTTTTCAGGCAAGGGAGTATTGCTCCCAATTTTTAAGTAAATGAGTTTTCCTTCATAAATATTCTTAGATATTTTTCGTTTTCATTATCAAAGAAATATATATTTTTTGAAGCTTTGGATTTTATGCACTGAAGTTGGTGGCAACTGTACATGAAGGTCAGGCCTGTCAGATGTAGTATGGATGGTCTCAATTTATGATGGGGTGTTGTGCTGTGTGGAACACATTTAGTATAGTTTTAGGCTTTGCAGTCTAGGGGCCAGATTGTAGCCGAACTGGGATCGGTGAAAATTAACAGTAGCAGAGCCAATTCCAGGTTTTTTCTTAGAATTTTGATCTGAACCCTTTGAATGGGTGGATTTCTGGGATCGGCGCTCACGCTAAGCAGTGCTTGTTGTTAGAGCCCTGACCCCTACCATCCAATCGGGCAATTCCAGGCAAGGGCAGAATTTGGTGGTGAAAGCTTAACGTGGCGCAATGTTTGGCACGGTCCGTCCTGCACCCTGACGCAGACCTTTAGGGAGACTGCTGCCACCGCCGCAGACCATACCTGTCAAGGGCAAATAGGGGAGTGCCTAAAGTGACTCGAACCACTCGGCCACCCGGGGTGAATCGGGAGGCAGGTGCTCTAACCAACTGAGCCACAGGTTTGAACCGCATCAATATATCTGCTGTCTATAGGTATTGCCAGTAGGTGGGTTGCATGGTTTTAAGCTAGGTATTTAAAGTGGCCAGGTAAGATAACTCACACAAGCTCATAGTTTGTGTGGTGTTCGGTACAATGGGTGTGAAATGGTGGAAATGGTATGTTAGTCCATTGGCAATGTGTAATTTGTTCCTGGCATAAGGAAGGTTGAACACTATCTTGCCTGCGATTTTTGTAGAGCAGGGATATTTTAACACATTTTGTTGTGTCCAGCATGATGTTTTTTTGAGATGCCATGACCTGTGATTTTGCTATTAGTAAATGGTACATTTTTCAAAGCACAACAGACTTCAGGAGTAACATGTCTGTTGGTGGAGCTTGATTTTAGCTGAATGAGCTTACATTGATATGAGCATTGTTTAGTGAACTCAACTATTAATTTGGTTGCTAGCCACCTTGACAGTGCAGCTGGCCAGGGCACTTGCCCGTGCTAGATGGGAAGCCTTTGGTTTAAGCCTGATTTTGGCTGGTTTTCCTTAACAGGCTCCTAGGTAGGAGACGGCAACATGTGGGAGGCTATTGCTGCCTGGGGGATCAATGCTGTACCAACCAGCGCCCAGGATGCTGGGTTGGGTTACGGCTTTTTCTAACCATGTGTGCTTGTTTCAGTCATGGCTGTCCAGATCGCGGAAGGTCTGCAGAAGGAGGTGCTGAAGCAGGGCACTGGGCCCCGGCCTAGTCCGGGTGACACCATCACGGTCCAGTGTACTGGCCAGCTCCATGGCAACCCTCCCAAGAAATTCTGGAGGTGAGTGGATGGCTTTGTGCATACTTGTTTAATGCAACTTGCATGCAAACCTGTGTCCAAGGAAATGATGATGGTAGAGTGATGGTTAATGTAGGTCAGTTTCGCGAATATGATATTCTACCTTCTAGAAGCAGTCATTGCTCAAACTACCATAAAATTGAAGCAGTGATGGCATGCTGGCCATATCCATTTACCATCCTCATAAAACAGCATTGAACTTCCTGTTCACATGGCACTGTCATGCGAGCAGCACGTATATGCCACCGTTTTGCAGATGGAACAGTATAACATGGTGACAGCTAAGCGGGGCAGAGCTTTTATCTGGTGCTTGGTATTATCCCTGCTGGTAGCGCCGTACCTCGCACAGCGGGCGGCTGACCACGGTCGTGCCTAACGCCTGCCCACTTGCCCGGCAGCACCACCGACCCCGGCCAGAAGCCGTTCACCTTCCAGGTCGGCCTGGGCAAGGTGATCGCCGGCTGGGACGAAGGCTGCCTGACGATGGCGCAGGGCGAGCGGGCGCGCCTCATCATCGCGCCGCACAAGGGCTACGGCGCTGGAGGCTTCCCCGCGTGGGGCATCCCACCCAACGCCACGCTCAACTTCGAGATCGAGGTGCTGAGCGTCAGCAAGTAGGCGGCGGCGCGAGGAGGAAGGCGGCCGGGCGGCGGATCTCGCGCGGTGTGGCCGCTCTGCTGCGGGTGCGCGCCCCAGCTCGGACGCGGTCGGCACCCTCCTGCCACCTCTGCAGTTTGTGTCGATCTGGCGCCACCAGTGGCATCCGCACTTCACGTCTTGTTCGATCCCTGTCAGTGACATTCGCTGGCAAGTCTTGTCCACTCAGCCATCAACATGCAGTGTTCACGCTGTCGCGATCAGTGTGGCGTGTCCAAATCCTGACCACCTGACGTATAAAATGGGATAACCTAGAACTATTAAGGTGTTTGCTTTCATGACGCTGCATGGATTCACTGGGCTCTGCAGTTTCAATCCACTGGCCTGATGAGTTTGTTGGCTACTCTTTACTCTATACTAGCGCGCAGTTTTCTGTCCTCTTGTTTGGTCATTCAAATTTTGTATGTAATCGAACTCCATTATGCTCTCTTCCGGGCATCTCTTAGCTGTGCTGCCGTGTTGCTTTTACGCCGGACTTTTTGATGATTTTGTCGTGCTCATCATGGTCGTAGCTTCTCACATGATCCTATTGGAACCTTTTGCTGCCCACTGGGCCCGAAGTCGTGTTCGGTGGTTTCTGTGAAACTCCTGGCGGGTGGTGTGTGCTCCAATACAGCATTGCCATCTAACTCCGTTGGTTTGCACAGTCATTCAGTGGTGGCTCCCATCCATGACTAAGCTGTCCCCACGGCTGTTGCGGACGTGAGAAGAACCCATTTAAGGATGGACAGTAGAATAGAAGCGGCTTTGCTAATGATGGCTGCCGGTAGGAGTAGCGCCACGAATTTCGGGTGTAGGGGGGGGAGGAATTTTCCAAGGGCTTCCTGGGCGGTGTCTTATTCAAGGGGGTGCAGGTTAGGTGCACTTCCCCTCCCCTCCCCCATCACATTGATTTGGTTGCTGAGTCAATGTGAATAACTTAAGGCAATCTAAAAATTCAGGAAAGAGATATGGTGAAAAGGGTAAACCACATTTGTATGGGGCTTTGAGCTAACAGCCATAGTGAGTCATTCGGTGTAATCCACAGCCATGCCCTTAAGACCTAAAACCATCTAACTTCCGGGCTACAGGATTCGAAAATGTGCTGACCCTTTCGGAGAAACTCGGGGTCACCCAGGGATTCATAATAACGTCACTCAAATCCCGTCATGCATTGGCCGTGCTGCGATTAAGGCCAAGAAAAGCATGATTGCCCAATCATTCATATCAGGCGTTCCTGAGCGCGATTTCCAGGTATCACGGCCGTCAAATGCATCTTAGTGCTGTGCGAGACACGATGACGCAATCAAACAATGACGTATTGCGGATAATATTTACTAAGCAGAGAAATTGTGTTATTTAGAGCCGTCTTTTCTGCTTTAAAGTAGACCAATACTTATAAGTGAGCATGCTTCACCATATGTGATGTTTGCTTCAATATCTTCAGATGTGGAACATTTCCTTTAATAAAGATCTTTTCAATCCAGCAAAGGGCTTCCGATTGCAAAATAGGGATTCCTGTTGCAGAACAGGGCCTTCTGAAACGCACAGGCCGTATTCCAGAACAACATCCTTCCGATTCACAAAAGGCGGGCCTCCACAACGACAAAATGAGGGCAATAGCCAGACTCACCGTGACTTCCCCGCGGCCGTCGACGTGCGTTCTGGCCGCTGAGCTCCACCGTCCCATCCTTCCGCAGTGCTGAGGCGCAAAGACTGCGCTTAAGCCGCCGCACCGCCGCCGCCGCCGTCAAATAACCGACTGGCACATGGCCAGGCGCGTCCTTTCCGCTGTTCCGTCGCGGGCACGCGACCACGGCCGTTGTCAGCCCCCCATCCCCTGACTGGCAAGGCCCGCGCCGCCCTTGCAAGGGCGGGAGTCACCATCGCAGCGGTCGGCTGCTGAGCAGCAGCTGTGGGACCGTCGGGCTCCTCGGAGAGGGTGTGGGCCCTGTCAGCTGCTGTGGACCCCATTGCTGCTGCCTGAGCAGCAGCTGTGGGCCCGCGGCCCGCACTGTTCCCAGGTCAGGGACGGCCCGCAGGTACCCAGGTCAGGGACGTGGTCGGCCCACTCCCGTCCCTGGTCGGCGTATGATGTGCTGCCAGAGACAGGCCTGCCGTCCCTGACCTGGCTTCTGTACTGACGGGATAGGAGCCCCCTTTGGAGCCCCGACGGGCGTTTGTGTTCGGACGGTAACCAGCCGAAGGGACATGCAAAGTTCATATGGTTTATTCGAGTTACACATGCAGAGGCGCGCTGGCCGCTATTCCTCAGAGCTGCCCACAACGCTTGAGAAAAATAAAAAACATAAACAAGCATAACACAAGCCGCACGGATTTGACCAACATGGACATCGGCCAGAGCGGCGGTACTACAGTTCAAGTTGCGGTGGGAGGGAGGGAGACCTACAAGATTCTATTGGGTTCGTTTTCTCTCATGCGTCACGTTACGTCTAATAACAACTCAAAAAGTGGAGGGGGGACGCTGGGACCCGAGCGGAGAACCCCTCGCCGGATTCCAAGCCATTGAGCGAGCCAGATGCTAAGGCAACGTTTGCCTTTTTGGTGGCACTGACATTAGGGATGCCGACACTGACATGCCCTGACCACCACAGTTAAAGTGCTTATAAAATAGCGATGTCCTACTGACAGATTGCACAAATATGTTAGCATCGTGAACAGCAGCACTTACCACTTAACTACCGATACGTTCATGCCCACCGCACCGCACGCTTCGCTTCCTCTTCCTGGAGATAAGGCATTGACACCGCAATCAAGTCAACTTGATTTGCCATCTTACATCATCGTGCTTATCCAGGGGGGGGGGGGGATCTACTCCCGAATCGCCCGCAGCGTTCCAAAGTGCGTCGCATGGCAAGTGTCCTTATTTATCTGGTCTTGCGTCTGTTTCAACATTATGAACATCATTAAAAGCAGCGCTGGAAATGCAGCAATGCCCCGCATTCAGGTTAGTTTGATTCGCCATCTTACATTACCGTGCTTATCTAGGGGAGGATTGGCTCCCGAATCGCCTGCGGTGTTCCAAAGTGCGCCGCGTGGCTAGTGTCACTATTTCTCTGGTCTTGCGTCTGTTCGGGCTGTTGTGACACCAGCAATTTAATTGTTTACCTTGTTTTGCCACACAATGTAGACTTTTTGATGCGACCAATCCTTTCAACTGTGATGCTGTCCCTCAACACTCCGTCTCCGTCACAGATGTGCGCAGACAGGGTTCCTCAACACTCAGTTACGTACCGACACAGAAAAGGTTACACTAGACTCACCCAACCTCCAACAATTCAAACCCCTGCCTTCCGCAGCGGCTGGCGATGCCGAGTCCGTTTACTGGCTACCCAGCCTCACCATAGCGTGTCAACCGAATCCCGGCAGGCCACCGCGACAGCTGGCGTCACCTGGTATTAGAGTCCGCCCCCAGCCGGCTATCGCGACAGCTGGCGCCGCCTGGTGTCAACGTCCGTCCCCAGCCGGCCACCGCGACAGCTGACGCTGCCTGGCGTCAGCGTCCGTCCCCAGCCGGCTACCGCGACAGCTGGCGACGCCTGGTGTCAGCGTCCGTCCCCAGCCGGCCACCGCGACAGCTGACACCACCTGGCGTCAGCGTCCGTCCCCAGCCGGCTACCGCGACAGCTGACGCTGCCTGGCGTCAGCGTCCGTCCCCAGCCGGCTACCGCGACAGCTGGCGACGCCTGTTGTCCGACTCGGACAGCCGCCGCTGGAGGGCGCTGTAGCGGCGGATGAGGCGGGCGGCCTCGGCGGCGCGCTCCGTCCGCAGCTGGATGACGGCGGATCGATCAGCGGGACCGTGCCGGACCTCCAGCAGCTGGACGCCTTCCTCCGAACGCACTCGCCGCGCAGACAGAACGGCCGAGAACGGGTGCGTGGCCAAGCTCTCCTGCCAACGTGGCAGCAATGGTTGTTGGGTCGTTTGTCGACGTGTGTGGGTACTGAGGCTGTTGACTGATTAATGCCGCTGGTTTTGCTGGGGACCGGTAATGGTGAAGCCTAACTGAAGCCCAGGGGACTGGAAAATTATCTGCAGTCATGGGTCTAATGGAATGGAGGACAGAACCAGAAAATTATCTGCAGTCATGGGTCTAGTGGAATGGAGGACAGGACCTCGATCACAAGACAGAGCTCTTTAAACAGCTAAACCTTGTACACCCCGGGCCCTGGAGGCGCACCGCTCGTTTCCCACATGGACTGCGGCAGGTGGGGACAGGACTGTCTGGCGAGCGACTTCAGTCCATCTCGACTATATCACAGCGCGCAAGGGAGCACACAGCACACAGCTGGACATCGCGTTAGCTGCCGCCGTCGGTGGCGCCGCGGCGGCGGCAGCGGTGTGACTCACGTGGGTGACGGGGTGCAGCAGGTGCAGGCCACGTCTGTTGACGGCCAGCAGCAGATCGGACGGCGCGCCGGCCTCGATCGCGCCGCCCACCACGAAGAAGGCCGAGCCGAAGAGCGGCCATTGGTGCAGCGTCTCTGTCGGGCACAACGGCACCATGGATTGGAACAGTGATGTGGCAGCGAATTTGGCCACATGGGTAGAGTTTATTTTTAGTGTAACAGAGTTGTAGCGTGGAAGAGCTGTAGGCTCTGCGACATTCACCGGAGGCAAACAGGCTGCTAATACAAAAAACGCCGCAGGTTCGATGGTTATGCGGGAGGCAACGGGCCAAAGTGCCTTCCCATTAAACAGAACAGTCTCATAACATTATTCATTTAGTAGACAACCAGTGGTATAATTGGATTCACATTCCGTCGAATAAAGCAAGATCATGCTGCCTTCAGCAATTATTTGACAACGACCTCAGCCAGATCCGCAGAGCTTTATCGAACATGAAAACTACGATGCCCAACCGTCACCCTGCGGGGTACTGCCGGATCCGTGGAGCTTTCGCCGTCTTACCAAGCACGGCGGCCTTTGCCTCGGTGGTGGTCTTGTGTTGCACCTCCGCCCAGCTGTCCTGCACCATGTTGACCCACTGCGTCGGCCGGACGCCCCGCACGAGCAGTGCGGCCGCGGGCAACAGTCGTTTCGTCTCTTTCACCGACGGCATAGTCCGGAGGCCAGCGGCCCGCTGCAGCAGCGCCGCCACGCGGGCGATGTCGAACTAAAACGGAACGATGGCGTGCAACTGAAACATCGCGGCTGTGTGGTGCTAAGACGGGCCGATGACGAAGGATGAGATAAGGCGCCAGTGCCGGACTGAGGCTGAACGGCTGCGTTGAACAGAAACCGAAAGGTCGTGTTGGGGGGAGCGGGACATCAGCGTTTGGCATAACAAAGTCTGTTTACAGGAGCTGTGGCTTCGAATTCAAAAGCAATACCAAATGCGTTGAAATCAGGAGAGGCGGTGTCGAACTAAGATAGGGAGTTATGTCGGAATGGAACAGTCCAGCAACGTCCGAAATGCGCCGTCAAGGTCTCCTCCCGACTAAGAACCAGGTGTCCATCCCGACTTCCCTCCCGACTTCCAGGTGTCCCTCCCGACTTCCATCCAGACCCTGCCGGCTGCCGACTGCTAAGTACCAGGTGTCGCTGCAGAAGCGTCGCGTCCGGCATGGCGAGCAGCAGCCCCTGCAGGTAGGCCGGCGTCAGCTGGCCAAACGCCAGCTTGACGTACTGCGGCGACTGCAGCCTCAGGGGCAGCAGCCACACAGACCGACAGAGCAGCAGGTGGAAGACCTGAAGCGGGGAGGGGATTGTGCCAGGCAGGTACATGTAGAATTCGTGGCAGGAGCAATACACCATCCCAAGCCGCGGCGCAAGCTAAGCGGAGGGGAACATTAAAGGGCTGCGCAATACGAATCGAATCAAAGGAATCAAACATAAGTTCATTTCCATGAGTTCACAGGGCAGTTCAGCTACGCGCACCGTCACCTGGTCGTTCTTTCTGCAACTCGGTGGTGACGTCATTGATGTACTCGTCACCGGAGAGGGGCAGAGTTAACTCGTCGCTCTCCGTGACGCCGTACAGACTGAACTCGCGCTGCTCGTGCTCGTCAGTGACGTCCAGTAGACGACAGAGCTCCTTGACGACGTCCTGAGGCAGAGCGTCGACGCACTTGAGAGGTGCGCGGAGCACGGGAGCCTCACGATACGACGCGGGACACGGAAATCTAACGAGATACGCAGAACGCGGAAACCGGCGGCACCGTACTGGATAAACTCACGTCATGTCATTTGAACGCGAACGCGATCATTGGTGGGATGCGTGATGACAATCGATAGCATCGATCATCAGCGCGAACGCCATTATTTCGCGGTACAGGGCACGGGACACTCAGGATGTGGTAATGGACACCCATGGACATAAAACGGCAAATTCCCGTAACTACGACACGGAACACCCTCCAAACACGAAACACCGAAGCCTCACATCCCCAATACCGCCCCTTCACGACACGACGCGGAGGCTGAACCGATACGGCTGAACTGATACGCAAACACGTCATGATATTACCACCGACATGTCGCGATACCATTGCCTGTCCATTCCAACATCAGCGCTTCAAACTGCGGCAACCGTCTCACTCTGCGCCGAACACAACCGCCGCCAACTGACTGCCACATGCCAAAGCCTCCAACCAACGGGCACCAGCACAACAACGAAGTATGCAGATGACGCCAGCGTCTCCGACCTGGACCACGGTGGTGGTGGAGGTGAGCAGGGGGTGGGCCGCGCCGCCGGGCAACCTGTACAGCTGCCGGCGGGTCGGCCGACCCTCGGTCACGGCCGTGACCTCCTGCCGGCCGGGCACGTTCCGCCGCCCGCCCAGCCGCAGAGTGCGACGCAGGTTGTGCAGACACAAGAGCGCCGTGTCTGGAGAACGGCGGCGGAGTCAGCGGTCGGAAGTATGACTGAGATATGAGTGTGTAGAGGACTCGTGAAAACAGGGTTTTAGAGCTTTCGTTTGCCTTCTTTTCATAAAGTCGCATTCCCCTGCCGCACAACTTGCTCAATTTCCTAAAATTTACACATTCTTCCTTCCTGGTTTCCAATTTTCCAATCATTAGACCATGTGAGCAGCTACGCCCCAGTATGGGCGCAGCCGGTAACCATCCACCGGGCACTTGAGACCTTGACCACAGACTGTTTTTGATAGACTTGATATTCTTAGTGAAAATAACATTAGGGCAGGTTGGGCCCACCGCCGCTGGTCTTCATAACTGGCCCCATGACAGTGTTAACACAATGCGTATGGTCATGTCCTGTTACAGAGGGTTCGGAGACCCCACATCTACGCCAAGCACCATCCCGGTCTCCCCCCTTATCACTGACGCCCCCCCCCCCTACCCCCCCCCCATTTCCCCACTGACCGTGACATGCCCGCCGCGGGTCGTAGGCCGCGCTCTCCAGATACTTGACGAGATAGGGCTGCAGCACCTCCGAGCAGGCGAAGTAGGCGGTGAGCAGGCTGAACATGCGCCAGCCGCGCCGGGCCGACTCGGGCTGGTCCGACTTGTTGCTGGTGGTCTGGCGCATCAGCTGACAGTACACCTCGTCTCGCAGCTCCCGGTACCGATGACAGGCCTGCGAGGCGGCCGGCGGGCTCAGCGTGGGCGGGGGGGGGGGGGGGGTCGAGGATCGACACTAGATCCGGGGCGGTGTGGCCTCCGAGTGTGTCGATGTGTGAGCTGTTGCAAAAGGAAAATTTTTGGTGGGAGCTAGCACCACGTCTGTGGTGTGTAGTGTAGAGATCTGACCGAAAGGTCCGAAAACAAGGAGACCAGGCCAGGTCGAGAACACGATACTAGTGAACATGAGCGGAGTTGCACGCACACACCGTCACAGATTGGCAATATGCATATATATATATATATATATATATATATATATATATATATATATATATATTGAGCTTCTCGCTAGCCGATACTGCCGTGCGCAACTCGCTCGCTCCCAGCAGTCGTAAGGCACAAGAGCATCCAGACCAGATCTGGTAGGCTTGGGAATGCCCGACCAGACCCAAGAGCTGGCTGGACGGCGGGCGCGTCTGACCAGCAGCAGGCTGTAGACGCAGTCGGTGTCGGTGGTGTCGGGGGCCGGCGGCTGGTCACCCATGTAGCGAAGCAGCGCCAGCGAACACTCGACCGCCAGGCGAGACAGCTCGGTCGACTCCAGTCGCAGGAGCGAGGCGCGCAGCGGCACCTCCGACCACTTCACCAGCTCCACCTGTCGAACGGTGGGTGGAGGGAAGTGGCATCGCTGGGTTACACACCGCGCTGGGTGCGTATCAGGTGCAAGGGGACGATTCAAGGCCCAAGTACGCGGGCGGGGATTCTTCTTTTCCGCCTGTCAGCACCAGATAACAAGAAAACTTCCTAGGTTATGATGTAATGCATACATACGTACAGCCTATTCGCTTGCGTCGACATCTCATTGATCCATGCGACATCCACCACACCACGACACCCAATGGCGGCCGGATTTCCTCTTAGTAAGCTGGGTTTGGTACTCGTGTACTGACATGCTTCTTCTCAGTATACCGGGTTTGGTACCCGTGTGCTGACCTGTTTCTTCTCAGCATACCGGGTTTGGTACCCGTGTACTGACTTGTTCTTCTCAGTAAGCTGGGTTTGGTATCCGTGTACTTACATGTTTCTTCTCAATATGCTGGGTTTGGTACCCGTGTACTGACCTGTTTCTTCTCAGTATACCGGGTTCGGTACCCGTGTGCTGACCTGTTTATTCTCAGTATACCGGGTTCGGTACCCGTGTGCTGACCTGTTTATTCTCAATATACCGGGTTCGGTACCCGTGTGCTGACCTGTTTATTCTCAATATACCGGGTTCGGTACCCGTGTACTGACCTGTTTCTTCTCAGTATACCGGGTTTGGTACCCGTGTACTGACCCGATTCTTCTTAGTATACCGGGTTTGGTACCCGTGTACTGACCTGATTCTTCTTAGTATACCGGGTTCGGTACCCGTGTGCTGACCTGTTTGTTCTCAATATACCGGGTTCGGTACCCGTGTGCTGACCTGTTTATTCTCAATATACCGGGTTCGGTACCCGTGTACTGACCTGATTCTTCTTAGTATACCGGGTTTGGTACCCGTGTACTGACCTGTTTCTTCTCAATATACCGGGTTCGGTACCCGTGTACTGACCTGTTTCTTCTCAGTATACCGGGTTTGGTACCCGTGTGCTGACCTGTTTCTTCTCAATATACCGGGTTCGGTACCCGTGTACTGACCTGTTTCTTCTCAGTATACCGGGTTCGGTACCCGTGTACTGACCTGTTCCCGCCACGTCCAGCTTTCCTTGCCTTTCTTCTTGCTTTTCTTGCTCTTTCCGTCTGCGGACTTTGTGTGACCGTTGGATTCAACCAGGTCGTCTCGCGGCACATTGGACCTGACAAACAATGACTATCTGTCAGTATCTGTTAGCATATAATTTGCTAAGCACGCAACATGTGTGTGTGTGTTTAGAGCGATCAGGCTCGGTCTGGCATTGTGGGCAGTGGCCCGCTCCTCGAGATTTGGGCAGAGCACACTATGTTGTGAGTTTAAAGGAAATTATCAATTTAATTGACGTTAATGTGGGATCATCGATGCCTGGGTGACCTTGACATAGCCTCCCCAAAGCTGTCCGCACATCTTTGCAGTTGTGTAGCCTGGGAAGTAGATGGGTTTTGGTCTTAAAGTGAGTGCTCCACATTTATATGGGATTTTGAGCTGCAATAGCCATCTTGAAGACCATTCGGTTTGGTTCACAGCCCTTATGTTCTTAAGGCCAAAACCCTTCTAGTTTCTAAGCTACATACCCGCGAAGATGAGGCGGCTTTTTCAGGGTAAACATTTCAAGATTACCTTGACACTCATGACGTCACAATGACGTCATTCGAATCGTGCCATTCCATAAGTCATGCGGTAATCAAAATCAAGGAAAATATAGTTGTCGGGTCGTTCATATCTGGCGTTCGTGGGCAAGATTTTCAGATAAAACAGTCGTCAATTGACTCTCAATCAATTTTGCGCAAGGTGCGATGACGCAATCAAACGAGAACGTGTCGAAGAGGACATTCACTGTACAGAAAAATTGTGCTGTCTAGATATGTTTTTCCTTTTAAAAATTTACCAACAATTATAGATAAGCTTGTTTCATCACGTTTAATGCTTACTTCAATTTCTCCACATACGAAACATCCCGTTTGCAAAGGGCATGATTGTGGGCAACAACCGAATGATCTTCAAATGGCTATTTCGGTTCAATCCTTCTCAAAGGTTCGACACGCCTCATCACGCGTCCCACGGAGTGCGGCCGCGTGACGTCATATAAACGCCCAGCAGCCACAACCGAACTGCGATTCTCACTTGTCTCGGAAGTCACGGAAGTAGAGCATCGCGTACTGCAGCAGAGAATGTTTGCCGTCATCGGCCGGCGGGCCTGAGTCTTCGCTGGGAATGGACGAGCCGCCGTCCGACTCCGCCCCCGGTGACCTGGCAGCCAGAGGCGAAGCCGTCCATTGGCCGTCTGCGCACGCAGAGTCCGCCTCCGATTGCCCGACAGCCAGTGGCGATGCCGTCCACGGGTCATCGTTGACTGCTGACTCCGCCTCCGAGACGCCTGCCTCACTTCCACTGGCTTGGTCAATCTGCAACAGGGACAGCAGAACGGTGTCGGAGAGCGCCAGGAACCATTTCTCGCTTACGCACCCATATGCGCAATCAGGGTTTCCATGCGGGGACGGAGGGGTCCCAGTGTTGTTGATGT